CAGGGAGAGCACAGGGCAGGAGAAACAGAGCAGGTTTGTGCCTGACAAGAGAATCGATCTTCCCAGGCAGAACGAACCTGCTTCTCAGTTCCCAGAGGCTCCTGACCACGGATCCTGTGTGGTGTGAGCAGTGCCTAGAATTCAGGGTCGTCATGCACACACACGTGAGGCACGCACACATGTATGCATGCACGTGGGCACAGGCATGCACACACACACACACACAATTGCACATCCACTGGGCACTGAGAAGAGCTGTCCTGGTTGCAAATCTCCCACCCTATAGACCCAGAATCATCCAGGTGCTTCCCTCCTTCTGCACTAACAGGGAGTGCATTAGGTGACCACCCCTCTTCCTGCCTCCAGCACCAGCACCCCTGCCTCGCTCTCCTCACCTCTCCCTTATGGGAGGTAGCCCCAGCCTCCTCCCTGCTCCCACCCCTCCCCCACTCCATCTTCCATCCATTCCGCATGCAAATCACCTCGCACCAGCTGCCCTTTGTTATGATCAGGCCCAACCTCCTCCCTATCCTCAGGTCCTGCACTGCCTGGTCCTACTTGTACCCGGTGCCCAGCCCCACAGGACCTGCCGCTGCTCTGCAGGAGTGGCCCCACCCTCTCCCGGCTCCCTTTCTGTGCCATGTGGCTCCTTCTGCTCTGAATTTCCTTTCTCCTGTTTGCTTTTCCAAATCCAGTATATACTTCAGCATTCTGTCCAATAGCCAGTTCTCTCCCCCTTTCACTCATCAGTGACTCCCTGCCTCCTCTGGACTCGCCCACCCCCTCCCATGGGGGCGCTGCTCTCTCCCTGGGAGTCAGCACCAGCTGACAACGCGTGCACATCCCCCAGCCGGACAGCATGATGGCATGGGGCCCAGGACAGTGCAATGAACAGCATCCCCTTGCCTGCCTCTCCCACTAGATCTTAGGCTTCCTGAGAGTGGGGACCGTATCTTCCCGTCACCAAGCATGTGACAGGTGCCCACAATGCTGTGTGGTGCAGTGCTGGGAGGATTAAATGGAATCATGTAAGGGGAGTGCCCGCATGGGTGAACTGAAAGGAACAGAGAGGGAAGGTTGTCACCCCAGAGCCACATCCCTCCTCACAGCTGGTTAGCATTTTCACCATGTTGAGTCTGCACACTGACTGCTGGGACAAATTGGGAAACTGAGGCCTGGAGGAGTGGTGCACCTGAGTCCTGTTCATCCGGGGCTGGGATTGGAGGCTGGTTTTCCTTCAGCTGTGCCCCCTGGTCACCTTGGGGCCTTTGCCTGGAGTGGGGACTGACTCCCTCTGTCCCGGCTGCTTCTTTCAGACCTCTACCTACGGAGACGTGGTCTATGAGCGCGTGAGCAAGAGGCTGGCCTAAGCAGCCCAGCCAGGTCCAACGGGGCGAAAAACCCCCCAATAAAACTGATATGCGGACAGAAACTGCTCGCTCCAGAATCTCTTTGTTTCGGTTTTCTGGCAACGTGGGGCCACCTCTGGCTGGGTGGGGTGGGAAAGCCCCCAAGGGTAGCCATACGGGCCAAACGCTGGCCCCGAGGTCCCTGTGTGGGCCGTGTCATGGCAGAGTGAGACATGAACGTGGACTGCAGGACTCTTGACCCCTGCAGAGGCCGCAGATGGGCACCCCCAGCCACCCATCGCTTTGCTCCAACGCTCCTTTAAAGAGACAAAGTCTCCTGGGAGGGGTAACACGTTAATTCTCAGATGGGCCGCAGGACAGGCCTGTCAGGCCCTGGGGGCAGGGGGGGAAAGGCCCCCGGCAGCCAGCCAGGCTCCCAGGCAGGAATGGATGTACCAGGGCTCACCCTGGGAGGCCGTTACGGCTCGACTGTGCCTCTGCTGTTATTTGCTGTGGAGTCATCTTCTTGGGCCTCCATTTAACCACTGGTACATAGGGACAGGGAGGACTGATGAGGGGCTGAGGGGAAATGGTAGTCTATGAAATGGCAGAGGGGCAGTGGGGGTGATGGCAGAGACAGGGAGGGGCTGGAATATCCTGGTTTGGACTCAGAGGGCTTGGACAGGGTGCCTGGGAGGAACTGTGAGAGGCTGCAGTGGGCTAGGAAAGATGGTCCCCAGGGCCGGCCCCTCTGATCCCTTGGCAGGTTCCCGGAGCCCGGGTTGGGAAGCGTTCTGCTGTAACATTCGGGTTTAGCAGATGTCCTGTGACTGACAGGAAAGTGCACCGGCCCCGGGTCGGGAGTGGAGGAGGGCGGCCCTTCTAGACACCCCTGGCTAGACAATCCCTAACCAAAGGGCCCTTTGCATCTTCCCTTCTCCTTGGGAGTGTTGTCACCTCTGGATACCACCTATTCTTTTTACCCAATATTTTTCTGCGTGACAGTTCACTTATTTGTACTGCAAAGGAAACTTTATGTCACTTCCATACACGGACAGCCACTATCATTTGCCCTGAGTGAAACTATTTAAAAAGTCAAAGCTGAATGACAATGACTTTTAGCTAGATTCTGTTGCCTGCTCAAAGCCCTGAGCCTGAGACCTCCCTTTGTGAAAAGCGCAAGAGAGGTAAAAGACATAGTATTGTCAAATGGGAAGCTTCCTCCTTAACTAATCAAAATTACTGAAAGACTACTGAAATGAGACCATATCGTACGAGTTGAGTTACCTAAGGCAAGTAGTACTTAGATTGTCTTCAATGCACAAGTTTCACATACAGGGCTTAAGAAATAAGGTTTGCCCAGCACCTTGCACAGAGTCTGGCTCACAGCAGGTGCTTAATAAGTGCTGCTTGACCTGAGGTCCTACTCGCCCTGTACAATCTGCAGCCTTTCACTTTGGAGGACCAGCCTCGACCCGGACAGATGTCACGGCCCAACTCACTGGAGGCCTATTCTCTGCCTCCTTTCACATTCTACTCCAGAACCTCGTTTATCTTTCCAAGAACAGTACACAGCCTCTCCCCACTCACCAGCCCAGCCAGCACCCCATGAATTCCATCGTTTTGCCAAGACTTATTGCTAATTAAGTGAACTAGGTAAGCATTAAATTAAACTAGCAGTGTTGCTGTTTCTTCTCCAGACTGAATAATTACTCATAATGAGCTTGGATAATAAGTCTCTAAATAACAGAGTTAACCATAATTAGGCTGAAAATTGAGAGAGAGAGGGAGAGAGGGAGAAAGAGAGGAGAAGAAGGAAAGGGAGAGAGAGAGAGGGAGGGAAGAGAGGGAGGAAGAGAGAGAAAAAGAGAGTTTCACTCATGTAATTGATCAAGGACAAATTCAAATCGCTGGAAGGGGAGAAATTCTTAAGCCTGTGTTGTTACAGACTCACAGACTCATGGAATATGGAATGGCAGGACCTCAGATCTCAACTGGTTTAAACTCTGTGTTTCACAGATATGGAAACTGTGGCTCAGAGAGGAGAAGAAATTCGTCCAAGGTCACATAGCAGAGAGTGAGTGAGTCTCTGAGAGTAGTGTGGGGTTGGGCTTCACTCACTGGTGGAGGCTGCAGTTTCCGAGGCAAATGGAGGAAGGTGAGCCGCAGTAAAGCATCCCCCTAGTTGGCATCTGGGCAGAGAGGCTCCTCGGCCAGAAGAGACAGTGGTTGAGAGTCACATCACCAGGGTCTGAATCCCTCTTCTTTCACCAGTAGCTGTGTCACCTTAGGGGAAGTTCATCCATTTCTCTGATCCCAGTTTCCTCACCTGTAAATGGGGATAGCAACTGTCCTACCATATAGAGTTGCTACCAACTCACTCGGTGCTGGCTGCTGCCACCACTACTGCCATCACTTCTATTGTCACCACCATCATCCTCAAGTCAGTGTGATTAAAGGGCTAGGAGTGCCTCTGTCACCAACTTGTGAGTCACGTGGGCCAGCCACTGGACCTCTCTGAGCCTCATCTTGTCCATGTGTAAAATAAGAGCTCCCTCACTTGGTCACGGGGGAGTTGCAAGGATAAAGGGTAAAAATCCACATTAATGGCTTCCAAAAAGTTAGACTGGCTTCATCATTTTGCTGTTCAAGATGCTGTAGGGACTCCCCACTCCACAGTCCTCGGTTCAGGTGCCCTTTGCAATCCTGGCTGTTCGTGACCTTCACCTTGACCTTTGGTTGTCATCTCTCCCACTCTGCCAGGATAACTGCGTCCCTCTTGCCAAGCTCAATCTGGTGAAACATGGAGCTACCCAAAAGGTCTCCACCAGGTGGCGCTCCGTCACCTGCCTGCTGTTCCATGGACACCAGGTGTGGGTACTGTATGTGGGCAGGTGGGGGGAGCAGTGATACCCTGAATGATTGGGCCTTGGTGTGGCTGTGTGTCCCTTCAGGTGACATGGCTTGGGAGTCCACATGGGCTCCTCAGTCAGACTCATCTAAATGTGAAACTCAGTCCCGCTACTTACCCATGGTTAGACCCTGGGCCTTCCTGAACTTCAGTAACCCCGTCTGGACAGTGGCAATAATACTACTAGCTTATGGTGGCATTGTGAGGACAAAAGAGAAGTTAGGAGGATCAGAGATCATGAGGAAAGTGCCAAAGACAGGGCCTGCGACATAGCAAGCATTCGCAAGAGCTCTATTAAGGGCTCTACTTCATAGTTCTACTGGTAAGAACCGGCACACACAGAGTCAGGCTTTTAGGGCAGGGAAAAGTGTCCAAGTCTGGCAGTACACGAGCCTCTCCTGGAGGATCTCCCATCCCAGACCTCCCAAACCTATCTCTTAGGTTCAAAGACCAGGGACTGCCACTGGACACGCTCACCAGCAAGGTACGAACTTGTGAGACCAGTCCAGTCCCAACCCTCCCATTTTACAGATGAAAAAACTGAGATCTAGAAAGGGGAAATGACCTGCCCAAGTGAGTCCACACAGCTAAGGAGCAGCAGAAGGCCTGACTTCCTGTATGTCCTGCCTGTTGTGTCTCTGGGAAGCGCAGGGGCCTCCAAACAGCTGAGTGGCCCAGCAGAAGCCTGACCTTTTGAGTTCTTCCTTTAAAGCTAGAGCTGGGTCAGAGGGAGGTGAAGCTCAGAGGCTCACCTGTGCCCCCAAAGAAGGGAGGGGCCCACTTATTGACAATATTCCTTGTAGAACTCACTGCTGAATGATGACACCATATATTCTATGCTTCCTTACTACAAACCTGAAGTGTAGACCAGAATGATAGCCGTCCCGCATTACAAAAGAGGGGACAGGTTCAGACTGGAGAGATGGCTATTCTCAAGGTCACGCAGGTAAGAGCAGACGAGCTCAAGACTCTCCACCTCTCAGGCTCAGTGTTCTTGTACACACTAGAAGTTGCAAACCTACGTTTTATTGGCTTTCTATTGTGTTAAAATGTTTTCAATTTAATTTAGAAAATTCCTAAAATTACATTTCACAGAAAGTGCAGATTTCCAGTTTCTCTGGAAACCTAAACATTGGGCAACACGAACCTTACATCCCTGAAAGGTAAGAATGAGCTGGAGCTAAGTAGACACTATATCCTCTCGGGGGACACTGGCTTTACAACTCAACATAGTCCCCACCACCTTGCGCTGTCACCGTCACCCAGCTAGATTCACGTACTTATGCCACCTGCCTGGTCCTGGCAGGCATTTAGACTTGAGACACCTGCCAAATGTTATGCTGCCTTTCTGCTGAAATTTAATTCACAAGAGTCTTTTCTGAGAAACAGGCCCTGGCTAATGAGGGCTGGTAAGATTCTTCTTCAGGCATTTGGTGCCAGGGATTGCCCCAGAAACACAGGGATGCTGGTTCCTGGTAAGGAGGAGGGCAGCTCTCCAGGGTGTTTGACCAGCTGGATGGTGCCTAGAGCTGGCCTGAGCCTCCCGGAGGATGATCTGGGGAGGCCCCAACCCTCATCCCACATCTTCACCTTCACAGATGGGGTCGGGGGCGCTCAGGGAACCCTTCCTGGATCAGAGCGTGTGGGGGGCAGACAGAGGGAGCTGCAAATCACGTGGGCTGGTGGCAGATGTGCGAGGAGCTATGTTTCTGCGTCTACTGGTCAGTACGCTCTGAGAGAAGCCGGGTCGCACTGTGAATCAGGAGTGGGAACGCCAGGCAGCTCCTTTCTTTCGTGAACCTATGTCCATTATTCTGTCCTGGTGGGGTCTTCCTTACCAGGTGAGAGGGATGGCTAGCTGCAGCGGCCACGGAGCCTTTCACTCATTCATTCCAAAGCCTTGAGTCAGGCGGCACAGGACAGTGGCAGATGCAGACGGCTTGGGTTTGAATTGTGGCCCCTTCCTTAGGCAAATAACCTCTCCGTGCCCTTGTTTTCTGATCTGTAAAATACACCTAATAATAGCTCGTACTTTGTAGCATTATTAGGATGATTATAAGAAATCATACCAGCAAGTGTCTGATACGCAGTAAGCGCTGCGTAAATGCCGGCTGCTCTAACTATTGCCACCGGGACCAGGAGCTACATTCTACTGGTAGTTTAGGGCACAGCCATAGAAACAAGTAAACAAACTAATAAGATCATTTCGGGTGGTTTAAATACCATGAAGAAAATAAACGGGGGGTAATGAGGGTGACCAGGGTTTTTATAGAGGCCTCTTCTGGAGGTGGCATGTGAGCTGAGACCCAAAGCAGGTTTCTCAGCTTCAGTGCGACTGGCATTTGGGGCTGGATAATCCTTTGTCATGAGTGGGTGGGGCCTGTCCTGTGCAATGTAGGATGTTTAGCAGCACCTCCGCTGTGACAACCAAGTATGTGTCCAGACATTGCCAAATGTCCCCTGAAGGGCAACACTGACCCCGGTTGAGAATCACTTACATTAATGGTGAGGAGATAGTCACACAGGATGAAGGGGGAAGAGCATTCCCAATGGGAGGACACAGCTTTGGAGAGATGGGTTTCGAACCCGGAGGACATGAGGAACTGAAACTTCTGCCCTACCCTAATCCAGGCATTTGCAATGCTGGTCTGGAAAGCAGCAGGTTCTCCTTGGAAAAGGAGTCTGGGTGTCCCAACCTTTCACACAGCTTGGTCCAGGAAATACTAAGTATAGAACAAAGTTGAGGTTTAGAACTCACATGGTTCAGAAATTCAGATAGGAAAGCTGTTTCTTTACTCTCTCCTTTGAGCTTAGGAACTAGAGTCTGTATATTTAATTTTTTGTTGGATCTTCAAACAAATTGTGCACCTGAATCACCAGGAAACTGACCGTAAAAATGTAGATTCGGGGGCCCCTCCCTTCTTAGAGAAGGCTCCAGGTCTTTCTGCAGCCTGCTCAGGTTTGTACACCTCTGGATTCAACCAGCTGTCAGCCCTAGGAGGACTTTAAGGCCATCTCTGTGCTTTTTAAAACTTTCCTAGCCACCTCCCAGCATGGGAACTAACGAAATCTGACATGGAGAGCCATGTGTGGAAGAAATATAAGTGGACACCTCTGGCTGAAGGCAGGAGGCCAGGGCCTCTGTGGCATGGCTCCCTCCGAGGACTCAAAACCATCCATCAACTTGACTATCTCCATGGTAACGGATGGGGAAGCTGAAGTCTAGAGGGGGGATTTTTTTCTTTTTTTTTTGAGACAGTGTCTCACTCTGTTGCCCTGAGTAGAGTGCCGTGGCATCAGCCTAGCTCAGAGCAACCTGACTCCCGGGCTCGAGCGATCCTCCTGCCTCAGCCTCCTGAGTGGCTGGGACTACAGGTGTGCGCCACGATGCCCAGCTAATTTTTCTATTTTTAGTAGAGATGAGGTCTCCCTCTTGCTCAGGCTGGTCTCAAACTCCTGAGCTCAAGTAATGCTCCCGCCTTGGCCTCCCCAAGTGCTAGGATTACAGGTATGAGCCACTGCACCCAGCCTTATTTAAACTTCTTATTGGTACATAAAATAATGGCACACCTTCCACAAAGTAGATTGTATGTTTATAGAAATATAATGATTATCGTTTTTTGGAGGTACTGGCCTTGATGTACATTATGTTATTTAATCCTCATGAAAACCCTACAAGACAAGTGCTGTTATGAGCCCATTTTAATAGGCGAGAAAACTGAGGCTCAGAGAGGTTGGGTCAACTGCCTCTCCACAGCTCGGAGATAGTTAATTTTATGCATCAACTTGGCTAGGCTATGGTGACCATTATTTGGTCAAATACTAGTCCAGATATATTTTTAATTCTACTTTTAAAAATGAATTAATCAACTATTTGTTTTTAGAGATAGGGACTCACTCTGTCAGGCTGGAGTGCAGTGGTACAATCATCGCTCACTGCGGCCTTGAACTCCTGGCTCAAGGGATCCTCCCACCTCAGCCTCCCAAAGTAGCTAGGACTACAGGTGCGTACCCCAGCACTGGGCTAGTTAAAAAAAAAATTTTTTTTTTCAGAGATGAGGTCTTACTATGTTGCCCAGGCTTCTCTCAAACTCCTGGCCTCAAGCAATCTTCTTGCCTTGGTGTCCCAAAGTGTTGGGATTACAGGTGTGAGCCACTGTGCCCAGCCTAAATGTATGTTTTAGATATGATTAACATTTACAATCAGTTGACTTTAAGAAAAGCAGATACCCTCCACAATGTGGGTGGGCTCCACGCAATCAGTTAAAAGCCTTAACAGCAAAGATTGAGGTCTTCTGGAGAAGGAATTTTGTCTCAAGACTGTAACACAGGGCCAGGCGCGGTGGCTCACGCCTGTAATCCTAGCACTCTGGGAGGCC